TATGCAGTGACCGCCTTGCCCCAAAAGGCACCGCTGTGTTGAGGAAGGCGCGTTCCTCAGCCGGCTCTTGATGGATTCGCGCCTCATACTTCGCCCAGGCTGGCAGCCAGAGCTGGCAGAGGCTTCCAGAATGAAACCTTGAACTCGGCAGCCCTGAAGAGCAAATAGATCCTCTTCCCCAGCTGGCTGGAACGGCCCCTCCCTGCCCTGCCCTCCCCTCCCCTTTGGGCCTGACTGCACTTTTGTCACCCTTCTCCCACGCCCCCCCATCAGTGGGGAGGGTGCCAATATTCCTGGGAGATAAGAAAAGTGCTGCTCCTGCCAAAGGGGCCGGTCAGCCAAAGGAGTCGTGGGCAGCCTGGTCAGGAGCCGCTGCAATTCCAGGGTGAAGCTGTCGGGCAGCTGCAGCCAGGAGCAAAGAGGCTTGGGTGAGTCCCGCAACAGTTGGGGTTGGGGTGGGGTCTCCAGGAGAAGGAGGGTTCCATGCAGAAGGGGGACAGGCAAGCCACCATTCCACAAAGCCCCCCCCCCGCCCGATTCTCCTCTTTGGTTTCCAAAAACTTGAAGTAGCTAAGAAGGAATCTGCCTGACCACAAATGAAAAATCTTGTCGTCTATAGCAGGGGTCTCCAACCTTGGCCACTTTAAGCCTGGGGGACTTCAACTCCCAGAATTCCCCAGCCAGCTGGGAGTTGAAGTCCTCCAGACTTAAAGTGGCCAAGGCTGGAGGAGACCCTGGTCTATAGGGTATCTTTGAAAGTGTAAAAGCAGAGAGTTGCATAAAAAGAATATTGGAAAAGCAAGAAACTCCTTTCGTTCTTTTCTTGAAATATTTTTTCATTAAGAAAAAATTCTTGGAATATTTTTTCATTTTTTCATTAAGCCTCTGTTTCTCTTTGATGAGCAGTGATGGAGCACAGGGTCTCTAACTTTTAGGAAGTGCCTCCACCTTTGAGTAGGGACTGGCCCTGAGCTCTTCCTTGGACAGAAGAGAAGGCGCTGGATCAAATTCTTCTAAGTCGGATCTTCATTCCAAAGTCCATTTCTTACATAATAATCGCTGAAGAATAGTTTTCAGTTCTTAAATGTCAGGTGCAGATTCTTTTTTGTGGGAGTAGTAGGATGTTCCAAAGCCAATATTTTATTTTGATATGTATACAAATTTATATACAGTATTTCTAGCGTTGTGTCTCTCAGTTTTGCAGCTGGTTCTCCGTGAGGCTGCCTTGGGCAAAAGGGATCAAACCAGATGGTAGATCAGAAGAAGCTTGTGGGCCAAGAAACGAAGCTTCAAAAGCAACCGCTTATCCACTCAGTGAGGGTATCTCTGAAGATGCTAGTCCTCACTGATTCAAGCACCTCCTGCCCCATTGATTCCTCGAGTCCCTTGAGACCCAGGGAGGGGGTTGCTCTGCTTGCTCCTAGGAAGCCAAACCCACAGAGATCTGGGCTCCAGAATGCTCTGACCCTCTCAGTCCAATAGAGCCCCCAAACCCTTGGGCCAGGAGAAGCCTTGGGGGGGGGGGGCACCACTACAGTTCCAGTCTGGTGACGTTATCGAGCCCCCCCAAAAGCAGAGAACGATTAAATCGTTGCCCGAGAAAATGGCTGTTGTACTCCCACACTATTGTGGGGTGTCTAGTAGTGCATATTTGAGCAAGGAGGGGAAAGGATTCCCGGAAGGGGTGCAAAGGGTGCTGTTTGGAGGTGGCTTTTCTGCGCTGTTAACATGGGGGGGGGTGCACGTGTGCGTGCGTGCTTTGATGTGCAATCAGCTCTAAGCTTCTGCCCAGCACTATATAGAACTTTGAAAAATGGTGGATTTTATTTGATGTAGTAGTGGATGATGGGTGGTGGAGTGAAGTAATCATCTCAGCAATGTCTATGGTGATTCTCAGTCCTCCAGGTCATGGTTGTCCCAAAAGGTGCTTTTCTTCAAGAGACAATGGGACTTTCTGGTTTTTCTTTGAAGACGTTTCGCTTCTCATCCAAGAAGCTTCTTCAGCTCTGACTGAATTCCCCACCCCAGATCTGAAGAAGCTTCTTGGATGACAAGCAAAATGTCTTCAAAGAAAAACTAGAAAGTCCAGTTGCCTCCCGAAAAAGCACCTTTGGGACATCTCAATAATGCCCAAAACTCGTTTTAGGTTATAGCCAAGAAGGTGAGTTTTGAACTGAATTTGAGTTTTGAAGGCAAGTGTAATTTTCTGGGGTTCCCTTATGCCCATAAAGGCAAATGTCATGTTATCTTTTTTAAATAAATGTTTTTATTATACATTTTCCTTTATTCTACATCGTATTTCCAGTTTTGCAACAACAGTGTACTGGCTGTATCAGATCCTTTTTCAATATACATAGTATTATACACCCTAATCATGACCATTATTCTCATAGTCATACAGCATAGTCTTTTTTTTAAATACATGATATTGTACGTCATAGTTATATCCATTATTTTCATAATTATACCATAACGGTCTATACATTTATCACTCTGTACATTTTAATCTATAGTCATGTATAGTCCAATAGTAATATTGCTTACAGTATATATTCTTATATATCTCTATGCATCTGTATTTATTTCCAATTTGCTAATCTTCTTTCGTTATTCAATTTCTAATCTCTGCATCTGCTGCGTAGCCATTTGTACAATCAGTCCCATGTTGTGCAATACGGTTTCCCCTTTATCTCTGAGTTCCCTCGTTAACCTATCTAATT